ATTCTGATTTGGTAAAGGGTTATTCATTTTTACTTCTATGCACCTAATTCTGGAGATTTCATTGGCTGAGATCAGTATCTGCTTTCTCCTGACAACAGATACCAAGTTCCCAGAATGACATAGTAATAAGAACATAAGAACCTTGCTACAAGATTTGTTGGTATATATCCTTTACCGGGGGGCGGGTGGGGTGGGGTGGGGAAGCCACTTGAGCAAATGAGGAACACAAAAAAGAAACACAACTTAAGATCTTTCACTAGTAATATTTTACTTTCTTTTTAAAATAAATTATAAATACTTTTTCCACATATCAAAGTTCATCAAAGAACTCCCAAAATTAATCTTCTTCATTCTTCAGGAATTATTTATTCACACACCAGACCACCTACAGAAAAAGATTCATTTTAGAAAGTCAGATTTCAAACATCATGCAGATCTATGGAGTTAGGGAATTCAGACCACTAGAAATGAATGCCTCAGATAAGTAATTAACTAATTGCCCTAATTATTCCAAATCAGTCATAAAATTCAAAATCAACATTTTAAAATTCTAGGTTTGCCTAACTAAAAACATCACTGAGACTATTCATGATATTGTTTACTCTTTAGAAATTTTTGAAGTAAAAAACACTGTGTGTGTGTATGTGTATATAAAATACATGTGTGTGTGTGTGTGAGATACATATATTTCTCAAAAATATCTTCCAGAAAAGGCTAAAGCAGTTATTTTTATAGATATTCAAGAGACGAGACTTGCAAACCTCTCTTTGCTGATTCAAGTATGCCTGGCGAAGATCCACAAAGTAGAAGGCAGAAGGTCAGCTCAGTATACAAGGCACTTCCTGTGGAAAGTTACTTAATCCCAAAGGCAAAATAAGGGCAACTCTTTTAAAATTCAGTTGGAAAAATCAAAAAGGGAAAGTAGCAGAGATACGGTTGCTGATCTAGTCAAGTCAGTATCAGGCTTCTCACACTGCTCCTAGTGCCTATCCTAAAAGATTGAGAACAATGCTACGCACGTAATTAAATTGGGGTAGCTAACTCTTCAAGTCTAATGCAAATACCTCCCTCATTTAGCTGGTCACTCCATTTGGTTTAGATAAAGAGAAACCACATCAACATACAAACATCTGAACTCTCTCTTTTCTAAAAGGCTCGAAGGAAGAATACACTTACAGAAAAGTTTAAATGGAAAAGATAACCAACAACGAAGCTATTCAACCTTTCAATGATAGCAGTCCATAGCACTGTTAACCACTTTTGCTACTGACTACATATCAAAAGGGGCTAGCTATGTGGTGGAAGATCCTGGATGTAAACCTGTTTGGTTATATCTCTGGATGTAATGTCCTTGACTGGAGGGATAATCTTTCTCCTCTAGGCATTTTCCAGGGTCTTTTTTTATTGAATGAATAAATGTTTGAATGGCAGAAATTACTCTTTCTGGATTATCTTGAGATCATATTTTCATACATAATCAGTTGTGTGTGTGTGTGAAATTCAGCACATTTTTAAGCATCCAACTGTTAAGTTGTTAAACTTAATATTGAGTGTCACCACTACTCAGTACTAGTCCTTTAATTTCTTTCAATGACTTTAGTCTCCAAAGTGGGTTCTTCAGGCTTCTTCTGACTCCCAAAGGCAGAAAGATAGTAACCATCCATTTTCTCCTTATATTTCTAATGAGGTTCTAGGTTCTACTTTCTCTTTTCAGTAAAAGAAGCAGTCATAAAATAGAAAAAAATTGTTTAGAATCACCACCATACCTATTTTTTCTTGAGTTTTCAAGTCTCTGCCTTTGCTACTGCTAATCTAGAAGTTTCTCAATCAACAGGTGCAGACCAAGGCCCAAGTCGTGAATTTTGGAAAACATTCTTCAGCTAATTCTGAGATGCACCTCTGGGTAAGAATCACTGGATGAATGTAGCCTAGTTTCATGTTAAGTATAAAAAAATGTATAATAGACTTTATTCCCCATTTACTGCACTTGAGGTATAATTAAGATCTACTTAGGAATAACATTAAAATCTACAAAGGTTTTTTAATTAAGAAACTTTCATGATCATTGCCAGAAAGATCTAAGTTCGCAAAATATTTTCCTTTAAAGCTATTCTCAAAAAGACATGGTCTAACAGTCTAAGAAATACCAATTAAGGTTATTGTATAGCAATGCAGACAGCTGTGTTGGATTTCACCCTCCAGCCAATGGCCTGTTTACTGGGTTATATGCAACTGTACATTTCAGTAACAGGTCTTTCTAATTAGCATTCGTAATGAGGTTTTAAGATTGAAGATCAAGATTATGTGCAATCCTAAAAATGAATATGTTGGCATTAAAATCTCATTAAGTACAAGTGAAGTGTAAAGTGCCTATGATTTGGAGAATATGATTAAATCTGAACTCTAATTTAATTCCATCACTATCCATCAACTTGAGCAAGTCTTTTTTGACTTCACTGTGCCTCCGCTTCGCCATGGAGGCTGGGGAAATAGGACACCTGGGACCAATGAAGATCCAAACACCCAGTCCTGTTCTAAAAACATTATTACACTGAAAATGGAAAACACGGCAGTTTGAATTCTTAGAAAGGTCCTATATGGATTCAGATTATTCTTCTTGTAACTAGGATTCAAAAATACATTATCAAGTCATATACTTAACAGACCTCAACTGAACTATTTTGTTCTGGGTTTTACAGATGATTTATTTTACATTTAATCATCACAACAACTCTATGAAGTAGTTTGGGCATGTATTATTACCTCCATTTTATGGATGAGGAAACCAAGGTACAGAAAGTTAAGGACCTGCCCAAGACCACACAATCAGTTAAACAGCAGATTTTCTAAGTCTAAAGCTTTTGCATTTTCTTTTACACACAAGTGAAGTACATACATCATTCTTACTCTGCCCCAATAACATAAAGAAAACTATGATATCATATGGTACTTTTGAATATATGCCGCTTATAACAATTGTACCACCTTTGTGGTTCAGATGAAGTCCAAGATAAGCTTTTGATATTCCTGAAATTAGCATTTCTTTCATTTTTTAAAATTATCCCTTTTTATCAAAGCAGGTTCAGCACAAGCCTATAGCTTATATAGCTAACTAGGGAGTTAGATTATGAACAAGGAAACCATGTACAAATTTTGAGGTCGCATCTGTAAAAATAGTTAATAAAGTACACTTAAACTTTTTAAGAATACACTCCCCTTCAAATTTACTTATTTTCCAAAATGGTTCATTATGGGATTTCTTTAAATAACCATCTAGTCTAAAAACTACTTAAGTATATCATATACACAACAGAAGATATACCATACTATATATAGAATCACAAAATGTATTACGGTTCTCTTTTTATAAATAATAAGTGAAATTCAGAGGATTAATGTCTTGATGAAGCTAAATGTAGCTGAAGTGAAAAACATGCTAAACTAAACATCAGGAGAATAAAAATAAAGCCCTCAGGACTTTCAGCCTAGACTGTTTTCCATTACACAGTAACTTCTTATCAGCTTGTGACAAGTTCCTTATCCCTCTTTTTTTATAGCTCAATGAGGAAGACGAGCCATATGCGAAATTCCAAAGAGGCAGGAAAGAGGTGCAAGGGAAAGAAGCCAGGGTCTCCAGTACTAAGATACTGGCATGTGGCTTTGGCATTATCTCTCAGCTATTATTAAGTTAAAAGTGGTAGTGTGGTGTAGAAGTTAGGGTAGAGGCAAAAAGCAGAGTCAGCCTAGAAACCGAGGTTCCACTTCTGGTACTGCTCAACCCAACTTGGGGATCTTTTCATAACCATAAGTCTTAATTTCCTTATTTATTCATTCACTTAATTAACAACCCTCCTTTGGGCACCTACTATGAGCCAGGCACTGTTATAGGTGGTGGGGATATTACAATAAATGAAATAGAAAATTCTTACTTTCTCAGAGCTTACATTCTAGCTGTTGTGAAGCAACACAGATGATTAAAAATATATATAATATCTAGGTGGCAGTGTATAGAATAGAGTAGCCACTAGCTACATGTGGCTATTAAAATTTTTAAAAACCAAAAATTCAGTACTTCAGTCTCACCAGCCACAATTCAAGTGCTCAGCAGCCACATATGGCTAGTAGCTACCAGACTGGCACATGCAGATACAGAACACTTCCATCTTCACAGAAAGTTCTGTTGGGACAGCACCATGATAGAGTGATGGGAAAGGGATGCTAATTTATATGGGGTGTTGAGGGAAGGCCTCTCTAAAAAGGAGACTTTTGAAGCAACCTGAGTAAAGAGTGTGAGTGTAAGCTAAGTTGATAACTGAAGAAACTGAAGAAAGAGCTTCCAAACAAAAGAATATCATTTATTTGTGGAATTGTTGGACACATATCACTTAAGGTCCCTTTCAGCACTTAAATTTGGATTCAGAGTTCCAAGTTCTTTTAAAAAATGGCCTGAAGCTTTAGTTTTATTAGAATAAACCATGGCATAAAAGAAATAACAACAATTCCATTTTCATTTTTCAGAAAGCAATACTTCCAGGGGAAACCTACTCACTACTTAAAAGGCACGGTGGCTCACGCCTCAAATCCCAGTACTTTGGGAGACCAAGGCAGGAAGACTGCTTGAGTCCAGGAGGTTGAGACCAGCCTGGGCAACATAGTGAAACCACATCTCTAGAACACAATACAAAAAATTAGCCAGGAATGGTGGCCCACACCTGTAGTCCCAGCTACTCAGGAGGCTGAGGAGGTGGGAGGATCACCCCAGCCCAGGAGGTTGAGGCTGCAGTGAGCTGTGATTGTGCCACCTCACCCCAGCCTGGATAACAGAGTGAGACCTTGTCTCAAAACAAACAAACACACAAAACAAAAAACACAAAGCATTTGCTGAAGTCCCACAATATTAGAAACAAGAGAGTATTTTTCTTTTAGTTCCTTCAGTCAATTTTCCTAAAGCCATGAGACCTAAAGGCTTTTGTCAAACACTTTCTTGAAAGTTAAATTCTTCCCTTCCCCAATCTGCTAAATGCCTCTCAATTTACTGACACAATTTACTCTGTTTGAACGGAAAAATCGTGTTTTTTTTTTAAATTGATACTTAAGCATTTTATATTAACCAGGTGAACTACCTTTCAAATAGAACACAGCCTGACTGCTGCTAAATCTGTAAAGCAATACACAAATTTGAAGCAATAAGCTTACCATTTCATATTTTAAATCCTAGGGCTCTCATGCATTCCTTGTGAGCCTCAATTAGATGTCCACAGTGTTCTTCTCCTTTCTCGATGATACTATAAAACAAAATGTACTTGTTATCTAAACAGGCATTAAGCACATTATTAAGTATGCATGACAGGGATGGGGAGTGAGACAAAACATGTGGATAATGGAATGTGGCTGGAGTTAAAACAAATGCTATTACATCAAACAGCTTTGTTTTTATTTGATCTTATGATATTTCCATGCCTATGAAGACATTCCACAGATAAGTAATTTTGGGGGGGAAATCTGATAAGAAATAATCACGCATATCAAATATTGCCTTTAGTCAATAACCCCAGAATAACATTGCTTTCTAAAGAAATAAACTGACTGAATATTTATGCTAAATGAAAGGGGCAGAGAGAACAGCTCAATTTTTTTGATTATCACAGAGAAATTAACTTTCTTATTCTGCCCTACATTCAAATACAACAAAATAAATCTAATTCTAATTACAAGACATCCAAAAACATAAACATCAAAAACCTCTGGTAACCAGGAGACCAAGATGAGACCCCTCATGATGATCAAAGAACATTTTACTTGTAAAATTCACAAAGTAAAGACTAGGACTACACAACTTTATTTCTAGGGCCTGAAAATGTGATTTAGCAAATAATCAAGTTAAGCTAAATTCACTAACAAGTAAAAACTGACTCCTGGCTATGGACATCTGGGGAGAACCCAAGTTGTCTGAGGCAATTGAGGCAAAAGAAATTTAAAGAAGGGAATAGGTTCTCCTTCCATGGAAACTCTCTACCCATCCTTCAATAGCTCAAGAACTAGCCTGCAAATGGGAGATTGGGATAGTGAGCTCCTTATGAAGATAATAGCCAGCATTCATTGTTCATTCATTGCTATATATACTGCGCTAGGCACTTGGGATGGCTTACATCATTAACCCTTACAATAATACCAGAGAGGGTTTCTTTTATTAGAGCCATTTTATAGACACGAGGCTCAAGATCACCAGGTTAGTGGATCAAGATTCAAATCCTGACTGTGGATCCCAGGCTCTTAATCATACTGCCATACTATTCAAGGTTCAATAGCACTTAACTGTTACCACTGGAACAATTTGTTTAGACTGGTCTTTCAATTCTCCCTTCACAGTATTATTTACAAAGTACTGAGGATTAATAAAAACACTGAGCTCCTACACTCTAATTATCTCATTATGGGACTTATGATTTCTTTCTTATATCTACTACTTTGGAAGACAAAAGGGGCTAGAGGAAGAGATGCACATTCAGGTTATGAGACGACATACTTTAATGAGGTTAAAAATTGAGCTGTTCTCTGTGCCCTTCACTTAGCATAAATATGTTATTCAGCCAGTTTATTTCTTTATAGAGCAATGTTATTCCTTGGATATTGACCATAATGAGATATAAAACGAGAACGTCTAAACCTTTTGTGGATTGCCAATCTAGATAACTATTCTCAGTACTATGTCCCCTGCGCCGTAGACTGGTTGATTTTCAACTTTTAGTTGCCTTAAAAGGGCTTAAGGAGAACTCTTCAGAACTGTAACGAATGTACCCTGTGTCCTACTGTCTCTAAATTTTGGGAGAAAGCCTTAGAAATTACCAGAAAACCTTTCCTGGTTGGTCTTAACAAATCTTCTATCACAGCCCTTACCACGTGGCACATAAGTCATTGGTGTTATGTCTCGATTAATTAAGCTGCTTTATATCAGGATCCATCTTTATCCACAGACATTTTCGGACCTAACGCAGTGCTTAACCCATAACAGATACTCAAAAAACATTTGTAGGAAGGAAAGAATGGTTGAAACTAGCTGTTCTCCTCTCTCTTCATCGTTTCCAGGAACTAAGCTATGGGATAAGTCAACAGAAAGCCGACCACGAAACCTACAGGGCCCAGTAATTATCTCCAGAGCGCCGCAATGAAAGGGGGGAGGAGGAGGGTGGACGGAAGAGGGCAGAGGGCACAGGGCAGAGGCACAGGAAGGCACAGGCCGCGGCCCGGGGGCTCGTCGGCCGTGCCCTCTCCCGCTGCACACTGACCACGCATCGCGCGCCTTCTTGGTCTCCGGGCAGGCGCAGCAGGGCTTCAGCGGCTTCTTCTCCTGAGACTCAGGCGGGGCAGGGTTTGAGTCGACCAGACCTGGCATCTTTCGCGCCAAAAGCAGCTACGAGCGCAGATAGCCAAATCTATACCAGCCTCTATTAACGCCGATTCGTCGCAGGCACTTCCGGTAGTCGCTCTAAAAACGACAGGAAGTCCTGCCTCTCTCTGACAGGTGGGGATTTACAAAGAGCGCTTGCGCAGAAGAGGCAAAATTAGGGCCTTAACGCGGTGGTGCCTCTTCAGCGCATGCGCAAGAAGGCCCGCTGAAAGGTCACCGGGACTGTAGTGTTTACACTCTAGAACTCTAGGTCACAGAGTATTTGTTAAATCAACTTGGGGACGGCTCATGAAGAATGAAAGCAGCAAGACAACAGAGAGATCTCATAACACCCCCTCCTTCCCTCCCAATATCGAAACGGAAGCCCAAGATGGTGAAATGATTTATTCAAGTCAAACAGTAGAAACCGCAAGTGAAAGCCAGTTCCCTTGAATAACAGACTAGTTTTCCCTTTTTCATGCTGGGGTATTATCTGCCTTCTTCCTGATCCCCACACACTGCAGGTCTTTCCTGTCTTTTATTGACCTATTTAAAAATGAATAGCAAAGACATTAGAACCACCCAATCCACAACTGTTGGGGAAATTTAAAAGGTCCTCTAACCCTCTATACACCTCTTATGCACATGAAACCCTCAGCTAACTTGCGTTTATAGCGCCCCTCCAACTGATTTGAGTTCCGTATGAATTATTCAGTCATATTCGTTAATATACTAATGAATAAAATTGAAAAATACCTTTCCATAGCATTTCCTCAGGTACATAGGTAAACCGCTGCCCATCTTATTTGCAACAAAATTAATATAATCATTTGATTTTTTTCCTGCAGAGAATTGTTGGAAACAGGCAATAAACTTTTTTTTTGGAGACAGGGTCTTGCTCTGTCGCTCAGGCTAGAGGCTGGAGAGCAGTGGCACCATCTTGACTCACTGCAACCTCCACCTCCTGCATTCCAGCTATTCTCCTGCCTCAGCCTACCAGGTAGCTGAGATTACAAGGTGCGCGCCACCCATCCGGTTCATTTTTGCATTTTTTAGTAGCGACGGGGTTTCGCCATGTTGGCCAGGCTGGTCTTGAGCTCCTGACCTCAATTGATCCGCCCAGCTCCGCCTCCCAAAGTACTGGGATTACAGGCGTGAGCCACCGCGCCCAGCCAATAAACTCATTTTTTACAGCAGGACTTGGAGGCATTGTTCAATAGCTGCCTGGTGATGGGTATTTTTAGGTACTTAAACATTCAGTATCACTTCATCAAAGTTTGTTTCTATATTATAGATATTTCGTTCAGGGAATCTACAGGGTGTCTGTCAACTGGCGCTTTATAGTGTTGTATTTGACCGGAGCGTGGAAAGTTATCACGAGACAAAAGTATGCCAGATTGCAGAGTCACTTATTATGCCGGCGACCACAGAGGACTCACGTCTCTCCAACCTGTGGTGGCAACAGGAGGGTGTCACGATTTTTTATACCCGAAAAACCACTTTGGGAGTGGGGGTGAGGGGCGGGGATGGGGATGAAAAGGCTTCAGACATTTCAAGGGCTAGGGGATTCTGTGATTCACCTCCTGGGTGGAGACAAGGGCGGGGGTCTCCGGACATTCCAAGGACTAGGGGATTCTGTGATTCACCTCCTGGGTGGAGACAAGGGCGGGGGTCTCCGGACATTCCAAGGGCTAGGGGACTTTTGTCATTCTGTTTGTTACCTCAGTGGTTTACAGAAGTCAGGATATACATTTGTTTACACATCGTCTGGGTGGTGATAGAAGTTACAGATTTTAGCAGTTACTGATAAGAAAAGGTAGGCAGCTTTACATAGTTTTGAGGAACAAACTGGCAGTTCTATTCACAGAGGCCAAGGACAGTAGTTATTGTAAGGAGAATGGGGCAGCCATTTCAACTTATCTAAAAACAGTTTTGCATTTTATAAAATAGTTTTGCTCTGGTTCTGGCTCTAGGCCAGCACAATATCACAATAGGAGTAATTTCTATATGTGTATTTTTCAAGTTACTAAGACCATCCCCATTTTGTCATCTGAAAACTTTCAATAAGCACAATTTTAATCTCTTTCTGGATTGATATGTTTAATAATACAACATTTTACCCTCATGTTCTAAATTCACCCTCATCTATTATTATCAATTCTTTCAACTAGGTGCTAACTCACATTTTTCAGAATCTTGCTAATCAAACAGTGCTTCCTGAATGAGCAATATCAACATCACTTGTAAACTTAATTACAATAAAATGTAGTTCAACAAATCAATGGGGAAAAGAAAATAGGCTAACCACCTGGAGAAAATTAAACACTACCTTAAAAGGAAGAGCTCCAGATGCATTAAAGACCTACATGGGAAAGGTTGAAATATGAAATTAATAGCAAATCGTGGAGGAGAATATTTTAATACTGAGGGATAGGGAATAACTTATGTTACAATGTTTCAAAAGTAAAAATTGTACATAAAAAAATTGAAGAAATTAATTACACCAAAATAAAGGCTTGAGGTTTTACGTACAATACTATAAAGTTAACAAATAAATGGCAAAATTGGGAGAAAATATTTGAAATCTAAATATTTTAAAATATTTTTTCTTGCCGGGCACGGTGGCTCACACCTGTAATCCTAGCACTTTGGGAGGCCGAGGTGGGTGGATCACCTGAGATCAGGAGCTCAAGACCAGCCTGGCCATCATGGTGAAACCCCATCTTTAAAAAAAATAAAATAAATAAAATAAAATATTTTTTTTTTCTTTCTTTCTTTCTTTTTTTTTTTTTGAGATGCAGTTTCGCTCTTGTTGCCCAGGGTGGAGTGCAATGGCACAATATCGGCTCACTGCAACCTCCGTTTCTTGTGTTAAAGCGATTCTCCTGCCTCAGCCTCCCAAGTAGCTGGGATTAGAAGCATGTGCCACCATGCCTCGCTAATTTTGTGTTTTTAGTAGGGACGGGGTTTCTCCATGTTGGTCAGGCTGGTATCAAACTCCACCCTCAGGTGATCCATCCACCTCAGCCACCCAAAGTGCTGGGATTACAGGTGTGAGCCTCCCCGCACCGCCTAAAATATTTTAAAAGTTAAAAAAACTGATGTGTTCACTTAGAATGTGTATTCAGTTGAAACAATGTAACTTTCAGCCACAGTTTCTTCCATATATGTAGGGCTGTTCAGTTTGTGAACCGTCATTTAATTCTCATGGCAATCGAAATTATTATCTACATTTATAGATGGGAAAAAATTGAAGTTCAGAGGTGCACATGATTTGTTCAAGCCTGCATAACCTGAAAGTGGTAGTCCTGAGCCTCACCGTCTTCTCCCTGTATTCTGTCTACTATCCTACTTAATTTATCTAAATGCAAAAGAAGGCCGGATGCAGTGGCTCACACCTGTAATGCCAGCACTTTGAGAGGCTGAGGCGGGCAGATCACTTGAGGTCAGAAGTTCAAGACCAGCCTGGCCAACACATTGAAAACCCAGATCTACTAAAAATACAAAAATTGGCCAGGAGCGGTAGTGCACACCTGTAACTCCAGCTACTTGGGAGGATGAGGCATGAGAATCACCTGAACCCAGGAGGTGGCGATTGCAGTGAGCCAAGATCATGTCACTGCACTCCAGCCTGTGTGATGAAGGGAGACTCTGTCTCAACAAATCAATTAATTAATGCAAAGCAAATATTTCTTATTTTAAAAGTAACCATTGATCTGTATTCAGTTGTGCTATTGCATTTTTATATATAGGAAATGAACAAGGAAGAAAAGAAAGATAAATATCTAACAGTCTAGGGGATTAAGAGAATTGAGATAAACAGTAGAAACAGATTACAGACCAAAAGACTAAAACAGCTTTTCTGCAATTGAGAAGATTTTTTTACCCACTGTCCCTCCCTGCTTCAGGGAAGAAAGGGTACTGGCTGTGATGAGGCTGTTTGTGACCCTCAGGTTAGCTAATACTGGTAGGCCTCAGGCAAAGAAGTTGAGTAGCAGCCCTTTCTGCACCACACTTCTTTAACCTGCTGTGTTCCAGACGTTTACAAACCTCTTCCTTACTGAGTGTTGTAACACTTACACTCTTTCAACAACTGCCTCTTCAGCATAAAATATTCTCCTGACTTTGAAAAAAGAAAGGCCAAAGTCCTTTTCAAAGTGTAATATTTAGTCATTTGTATCTAGCTACTAAACTGTCCTCTTTTATTTCAGAATGGTACAGCTAACCCACATATGTGGGGTACTTTTCCTTCTACCTTTTAATTTATATGAAATAAGATGGTTTGCGCTAGCTCATACCTGTAATCCCAACTCTTTGGGAGGCTGAAGCGGGCAGATCACTTGAGGTCAGGAGTTTGAGACCAGCCTGACCAACATGGTGAAACCCTGTTTCTACTAAAAATGCAAAAATTAGCCGGGCGTGTTGGCAGGCGCTGGTAATCCTAGCTACTTGGGAGGCTGAGGAAGGAGAATCCCTTGAACTAGTGAGCCAAGATGGCACCACTGCCCTCCAGCCTGGGCAACAGAGTGAGACTTTGTCTCAATAATAATAATAATAATAATAATTTTATATAAAGTAAGCTTAAGGTCAACTTTTGATTGTTATGTTATCACTATGCTTTGCTTTTCTTCTTTTTCTTTATCATTTTTTATTTTCTTACCCAGCCTAAATGCTTTCATATTTGTGGGATGGCCTGCTTTGGTATTAAAGGAAAAATAGGCCCATATAACATATTAAATGTATCATTTCCTATTCTACCCCAACAAAAATCTTAATTACCCACTTCCTCCAAGAAAAATAATTTTAGAGAGCTGTAATTAGAGTTTAAATTGACAGTAGGTGGCTGATGAATACCAAATAATAAAAGATAAAATTCACCCATCTGTTTTACAAAGGCAAATTTGAGATTAGTTTGATTCATATGTTTTATATCAAGCTCTTGCTCAATTCTGCTTTAACCAGGATTGGAACTCTTTTAAACCTTTGGAACTCTTTGCTATTACTATAATTGCTAAATTAGTAGGTATTAAGACTTGAAATGGTAACTGTAATGGACTTTTTCATAGCACAGTGAATATGTTTGTTGTGTGTTATTGAATGGGAACATTAGTTACCAG